GGACCGCCAACCATCAAGGTGGTGTCGATGGTACTTGGCGGTTTGACGAGTTGTACGATGGTGTAATTCACCTGCAGGTATCAACCCAAACAAATCCTCAGAGCACTCCCCATGATATATTCGATAGAAAATACAAAGGGATGCAACATCCCTTCGCAGGGCCAAAGAATCGAGGCGATCGGACAGGATTAGGTCGTCGATGATTCGAGCAGCACTTCGTTGGATGCAGTCTAATAGAAGGAGTTGGTATTTCGGTGCCCCTGCCCAGAGGTGAGAACAGTATTCCATGTGCGGCCGAATCTGTGTTTTATAAAGCTGCAAACGATGTGCCGGTAGGAAATACTGTCTCGCTCGATTTAGGATACCGAGTTTTTTAGAAGCCAGCTTGGCTTTTCCTTCCAAATGACCGCGAAATTGAACGCTGCTCGATATATCGACCCCAAGAATTCCGATCGAATCGGTGGCAACAAGGGGAGTGCCTTCAAAGGAGGGAGATAAGACGAAGGGTTTCCTCTTCGCGGTAAACGCGCAAACCTGTGTCTTCATGGGGTTAAATTGGACTAAATTTAGTCAGCCCCAATCAGAGATTTTGCATAACAAAACCTCGACTTCTGACACAAGTTTATTCCGGACTCTTCGACGTATTCCTGAGAAATATTAGCCCGGTCGGTATATAATGTGTCACCCGTAGTGTCATCCGCATAGCAATGAATGTTACAACTGTCTGTCTATTTGTTTCGGGTAATCTCTGAAAAGGCTGGACCGATTTTGACGGACTTTAACTGGCTCATAGCTGATGTAATAAGGAGTAACGTGAAGGCTATAAATATACTGTGTTTTTATAGCTGTGATAAGCAAAAACCTTTGACAAGAAACCCGAGATGTTGTTACCTTATGTCATAAATTTTGAAAACTTTACCACTTTATCAAAAGGTGACGGCTGTTGCAAATGTCCATGGGCAGCAGTTATCACTTAACATCAGGCGAACTGCCAGCTTGCTTGTTACCTTCTCGCATAAAAAAAAACTACGTGCAATCAGCGATGACCTCGTGGTTAAGATGTCAGAGTTGCGTACTTAACATCGCGGGTTCTCTGCCAACGGCTAGGTTCAGGTGACATGAAAGCTTAGTTATTTCGTGTTTGGTAAATAAGTTTGAATATTGGTCAGTAACATAAACATGTATACAATTAATGACTCATATTGTCGTATTGCGTGATTAGTGTTGTGTGCATACGGAAAGGTATACGAAAGAGGTAAAGACAATATACTTACTTGGTTTATACAGAATCACAAGTCTAGTTTTTAATTATTATTTTGGATAAGGTTTCGTTTATTGTAACATTGAAATGTATTATACATCGACAGAATTAAAAATAAATAAAAAAAAAGAATGTTGAACTGCTTCATCTTTACACAGTATAAAACAAAGTCGATCCCGATGTTTGTACGCTTAGAACTTTTAACTACGCAACGGATTTGAATGCTAAATTAGCTGTTTTCAGCAATAGGTAGAGTGATTTAAACGGGTTCAAGATTTTATGTAGTATACATCCATCCATATTATAGTAGGGAAAAGCCGAGAAATTTAATGTCTACATTGCACCCGTACGAAGCCGAGGCGGGTCGCTAGTTCATTGATATTGTAGATATATTACTAAGCCGTCACAAAAATAAATGCTGTATATTATGTACGAATAACAATTTAATGAGTCTTATCAAGCACATTAATTGAAATTCAAAAACTACAGAAACGTTTAATTTTTTCGTTTATTACAAATGACATGATATTAAGAAAAAGTGATAAAAGACATACTTTTAAATCGACTCACCAATTATAAAAATTTCATTCTAATTAATTTGCACCATCTCCGAAACTTCTTGACGCTTAGTCATTCATATTTATAACATTGTACATTACAAGGACTACATCCGCAGCTGAAAGAGGCTATGACGCCATTATATTTTTCACAGGGTGTGTTAACGCAGGCGCTTTCGAACGCTTATTTCGTACTGGACTATAAGTTAGACAAAATAAGTTCCTGTCCCTTTGATCTAAAAAATAATAAAAGTTTAACTACAGCCAAAAAAATTGTAAACTAATGGTTTTATCTATTATAATGCATGTGATAAGTATTATTCAATCGAAATGCATTTGCATTAGGGTGTGCCGTATACTTAAAAATGACTAATTGCAAACATGTAATCTTTTGTTTTTGTTATCATTCCAGTAACGATCAGTATAAAATTATTTAGCACTTAAATAATAAGAACCAAACATTTCAATTTTGTTAAAAGTTAATTATGTACTTTATAAAGAAAAAAATGAAGACAAAAATTTGACAATGCGCCATCTATTGTTTCATGTTCAATTTACGGCAATGATAAGGCTTTAATGAGTTTCTCATGCTTGATATTATAATGGTTATGCTTATAAAGGATAGATGTCTACAATGATAAAAATCACCTATACTTTTAATAGATCTGTCTTCTTCACATAAGCCTCGTAAAAGTTAAAATTCATTTTGTATGCATAGTTAATATGAAAGTTTTCCCTACCTGTGTGAAACATATTAGAAATAATTACATTTTAACAAAATGATAAGAATTAACAATTTATTTACATATACATGTACCTATATCATCGTATACGGCCACACCGTCGGAGTTGTTACTAAAATGTTTGTTTCCATCCATTCGGGAACTGGTATAATTTATTTTTTACGTCTTATAAAATTACATGTTCCAAAAAATTCTTGTGAAATGTCAGTCACACAATTAATTACACAAAATAAAACTCGGTTCAAGTTCAAATTTGTGTGTCAAAAATGTTGTGTCTTTACTTGTACAGTAATAAAAATGTTACCGTGAAGTTTTGTAGAGAGTAAAATCCGGTTTAAGTAGATAATTGACCCTTCATATACCCAAAAGATTGAACGGCTAGATTGCTCAATACGTACAACTCTTACAACACTAAACTTGTAATATATTAGGGCATTTACCTCCCATGGAGAATGTTGTTACAAAACGACGAACTAAATAATGGATCCAATAAGTATTAATACTTTAAGAGCTGCGAAAGACACAGTGGATCTTTTCATAGGCATTATATTAAATGATTAATCACAATACTGATTAAAATTTGATGTTAACAATAATTAATAAAACGACAAATTAATCATATAAAAGATTTAATAAATAAACTTCACGACATTCATGCGCACACATATCTTATATTACAAAAGTTACACACAATGTTCTATCAAGAATAAAGCAAAAAATAATGAAATCTCTCCATTCAAGTAAATAAGACTACAATATAGCATACAAGTCTATGGTATACTATACAATAAACAATGAAATAAATACTTTAATGTCATCATATGTGATTTAGGTAGAACATAAAAAAATGTTTCGGTGGTTTTGTTTAAAATGTATATTAGTTCGTCATAAATAGCAAAGGTCGTGGCAGTGACGTGTGACTGTTGTTGACTTTAAATAATGTTTTTATGTTTAGTAACGTGAAATTGATGTAAATTTAAGTAAATTTAATTTCTTTTAAATATAATAATAAAGGTATATCATAAGCTAACACATCCTGAAATTGGTTTCAGGACTTATATTTCTACACGGTGTAATATAAGAAAATACATACGTGATAATTTAATTCTAGTTATCAATGCTTTACTTTTCTATAAAATGTAGACTAACATTATTAGTAGGTATAAAAATAGTGATGATTGATATTTACAGATTTTGTCTTAATTAGCAGTGGTAGGCGGGGCCATAAATAAAAAACTCGTACAACAAATAGATGTATCGTAACATAAAAAAGAAACAATTCTTCAGTCTTATTAATTAAAGATACGGTTAAATGCTGATTGACCTCCCTTGCTAAGCGCGTCAGATGTGCCATTTATACTTATTTATTGATGTTTAAAATATAAATCAAATAGGTCTAAAAGGAAGAATAGAAATACTTAATATTAATTGTGGTCAAATTAAAATGGCAAGCTAAAGTAATATGTAGAGAATCGAGAAACACGAAAAAAGATGCTAAAATCTTATAGTAAACTTTCTTTATCTAGTTTTAGATATTAAACATCCCTTAGGAGATTATTAAATTTATTTTATTATATAAGTTATTAGAAGAGAAAGTTAAAGTTATATATAATACTTCTTCTGGCGCATTCGGAATAAATTATGAGCTTAAGGTTTTACGATGCACACGCACACCGACCCTCAGAAGTACTTTTTGACAATACCAGGGCAACCAATAACAACTTGGTTAACATTTACACATAATTCCATTAAGTTATTTAAATAAACCGTCATCAATTGCATTTAATTTCTTTTTCACAAACAAATCCACAGTAGATAAAATTTTTACTTATTTTCATTTTGTTACGCTAAAGAAGTACAACTTCTTACGCGCGTACATAGGTCTTTTATAAAACTTGCACATTAGACAAAACAATATTTGATTTGATAAGCTTCAAAGTTTGAAATCGTCTATATCCAAACGATCTTTCTTAGTAGAATTAATTTTTTTCATTATGTTTTTCATCCGAAAATATAATATACTTAATGTAATAGACAACTAAAACTCGAAAGAAGTTTTATCGGTAGTAAGCTCATGTTATATATTGACATAGTTTAAAAAAAATCTGGTAAACGAAATTAATTATTAAATTACTAAAATACAATAAATTTGTATTTTGCATGCTCAGTATAAAATTGTACAAATAAGATATATAGATATAGTAACATTTTAAGGCATGTTAGTAATATCTTGAGCGTATTCAGGTGAATTGATAAAACTAGAAAATTTTGTTTTTACTTAACATTATTTTCTACTTGGATCCAAATACTTTAGTCTATTGATTTACGTATTTAAATTCATTTGTGTATTGGCTTTCTCATATTTTTTTGTAAATGTTGAGATCCACAAGGTGAAGTACAATAAAGTGGTAGTTACTTCATGTCACTAGAGAATCTTCATGATTGAGGTTGACCAGGGCATCCTGTAAAGAAATGCATATTTTTTTATTAGCATATAACATCGAAAACTTAAATAAGTGTATTATTTTTATTGTCATTATTTTAGTTTTAAACATTTAATAATAATTTTTAGTTAAAACTGCAAAACCTAAAAATGTTACTCAGCTTTGGATATCATATGTAATTAAAAAAAAATAACTAGTTTATTTTTTGGCCTTAAATCATCGTTAATTATTATTTGGATTATAGGATTCATCTTCTTTAAATGAAGATACAAAGTTATTGAATCGAAGGCTTTATTAAAAGGTGGCAACGCATCTGTAACCTTACGGGTGTTGCAAATGTCCATGGGCAGTGCTCATAAGGGTATGCCGGCAGCTCGTTTGCAACTTTCTCACATAAAAAAAAGTAAAATATCTCTTATTTTTGCTCAACTTTCTAACCTGTACATTTGTCACAGACTGAACTCTTTTTTGTACACAAGCTTACAAGCTTTCTAAATACATGAAACACTACTCAGAACAAAAGGTTTCATTAATTTGATTAAAAAGTTTTACATTAATAATTCGAAAGATAGCATATATTGTGGAATGTGGATTGGTCTATATGAAAAGTCTTATAGCACTGAGCAATCTGATATGCAAGAGCGGTTACTTTTTTTCTAAAAACAAGGAGGTTGTGTGCATGTAGAGTTACAAGCAAGAAAAACTATTGCTTGTAGAACTCGCGCTACTGGGACAACGTCTAGCGCTTCCATTACTGATTCTTGCAAAACCAAGTGAAGACGCGTACACTAGGTACACCCGTGTGTCAGGGCGGTACTCACCGCCCCCAGCCACCTATTAATTAAGTAAAGCCAACGGCTATCGGGGTCACGGTTCATACCGAAGTCATGCATAAGTAAACGAGCGGCCCTACCCGACAGGGAGGGCCGTTTTTTCAAACTTGTGGGTTCTGGTGAAAGCTCTGCGTTCGATGAAGTTTAATTAGTCTAAGGTCTGAAAGCGCGAACATCAGGACAACATAAATATAGACACAGCCAAGAGTTCTGCGTTCGATGAAACTTTTATAGTCTACGGTATGAAAGGGTTAACATCAGGAAAACATAAACAAACATAGTCAAAGGAGGTTTTATTCCTCGTCAGTTGAAAGACACGTTTACTGTTACGCACTGCAGACGGAGCAGGCGATCTCGTCGCTGTTGTCGCCGCAGCCGTCACGCCCCGAGCACGCCACGGCGGTGCTTCGGCAGCGGCCGTTACCGCAGCGCAGCGGGCAGAAGTCCGCAGCACGCCATCTGCGCAAACACCCACTATGAACTAACAGGAGCCGCGCAAAAGCGAACACTTCTGGGTAGTGAGGAATTCCGATACGTTTTTCTTTTCGTAAAGATGGCTTATGACCACAGATAATTGTTTCGGATCTGGGTGTTCGCCCAAGTGAAACTTATGTTTGTAAAACGACCGTAAAACACAGGGTGATGTTATCCTACAGAAGGGCAATTTAAAAAAAAAAAGAAAATAAAAGGCTCAGTGTCCGGTAGTTCGTTTTTATACTAGAGTAACCCGAGTTAAAGTCCCGGTTTGGGTATCGATGAAATTGTAAAAGTCAAGTGCTAAGTAACCGTCGCCTATATTGCCGGTGGTAACTTAGCCGGAAGCATTTATTGCTCAGAACACCAGAGATTGTTTCCCTCCCGGCTTTTCAACCTTGGTGATGATGATGATGAATGATGTTGTAGTGGTTATAGCTATGTTTTTTCTGACGCCCCTCTTGGGAACAAACACCCAGAACAATTATTTGTGGGTCACAAATATTTGTCCGGTGGGTGGAAATAGACCCCACAAAATCCGGCCACTAAGCCATTTAGCGAATCACTCCAAGAGTTGACATTCGATTACCCCACTTAACAGGTGGATGCTGATGAGTTCGAATCTTTGCCCATTAGATCAAGGCGAAGAAGTTCGACATGCTGGTTAATAGGCCATCACTTTATTAAACTGAACAAAGCTCAATCGGACCTGGTGGCAATCGGGGGCGTTCAAATATTAATTTTATGACTAATCTTAAAAACGCTAGTTGAACATCCTATGCACTCGTCACTATATTTGTATTTATTTCTAACTATAGCTTGAGATGGTTTATATATGTAACAGTTATTGCTTCACTACTATTCTATCCGATGGTACGCGGCTTTAGATCAATATGAGACTATTTTGTACTGAGACACCTTGTAGTCGGCCATGACACTAACTTTTCATTTAATGTCATTTTTGATATTTCCAATATACTTTTGTTGACTAGTACAGAAGAATGAAGTCTTATTAATACTAATGCGTGATTAGCAGAAAATAAATAACCTGTATTAGCTTTAATGTCTTAGTTGTCTTCTACGAAACTTGAAGCTCGTTTGGTAGCACGTCGTATTATATGGAAATTCATCTTCGAACGAAATGATTCGCAATATCTGGTCTACATTATGTATGGCTTATGACCTTCCGCATACAAAATGAAACCGTTACAAGCCATTGTCGAAACTGACTTTTGTACGACAGTCGTACATAACAAGAGACTTTCTAAAAGATTATAAAAAGTAATAAAGAGCGTCGAAAAACAACGTTCCCACATATACTTATGGTATATTCTAACATGAAGTGTAAAACATACATTTACTACAAGAGGAACTGAAATATTTACTGGCATAAAACACTTTGCCTTGCCAAGTGGGTTTTTGGGCTTCTACGATAAGAAATATGAGTACATTTTAGCTATCGGTTTTAATATCTTTTGCTTATATTTGGAAGCTTTATACTGCTAAACTGAGAAGAAGAACCAAAGAAGAAAATGTAGGTAAATTTTTGTTTCAATCTACCGTCATCTTTGAATTACTTAAACCGTACCGTGGAAAACATTCATTTGTCCTGCCGCTATCCTACTTTTCTAATATTCTGTCCATGTGCCGCATTGAGGTCTCGAATAGTTGGCAGCCATAGACGCACGTATCGTTGATACGGGTCAAATTTCATGCATTTCGGAGAAAATGTTTACCATCTACATACCAACTTTAATATTTAAGCGTTTAACTTCAATGCGAGCAACACTTGGGTGATTTTAGTGGTAAGCTCGCTAAGATTAAATTCAAATGGAGTTATTGAAATTTTTTAATTTTTTTGTTTAGACACATTGCGATTTCATGTACATTATCATAATATTGAAATGTATTTATTACTAGGAATATTTGTAATTTAAGTATAATATAAAAAAAACTTATACACATATATTCAACTAAACTTTGCTTTAAATATAGTACTAAATAAAATTAGTCGAAAATAAAATTTGTGCAGCAGTTTTCCATATCATGTGTTTGTCACTTTTACAGTTTCTTTCTCAAATAAAATATAAACAGATTATCTATATTATCTTAGAAAATTCATTCGCGATATATGATACAATAAATAATAAATTACATAAGAAACAAGCTTGTGTAACGTATACAATAGCGAGAGTACTTTCATACCTCGACTGTTCGTTGCAGAGATGAGACGGTTCATCAGATTCGTCTTTGCAGGAGATGATCGCGTTGCAGAACTCATATTCTGGAAGGCATTCTCCAGAGCCGCATCTAAATGTGTGCCTGGGGCAGCTGTAACATTAAAAAAATATTTATTAATAACAAGGCAGATGGTTAAGACCACTGATTTAAATGAAATGCAAAGGTCTTGAGTTAAGTATTTCTTGTTCAATTATAATAACATTGCAGTTTGTAGTATTACACTTAAATCAAAGTTGTATCTTTACTACGACAGCTAAAGGACCCAAAGACGAATGATGATCACCTTTTTTTGTTCGCTTATTTACTTATACATTCGTGGCTAACACAGTCAAGAGTTCGAAATTTAAACCGTACGTACAGTGGACAAGTTTACCTGTTGTTTTGCACAACAATTACATCTCGACTTACTCTTACATTATCGTGATCCAAATCGACAAAACACTGATGACAAAGTAATGGTACAATATTAGCCTATAGTTATACGTCTCACTGTATTCGGGTATGGTCCGCGCGACCTCTTAGCGGCTTGATTGACAGATTTCATATATTTTAGAAATATTTTTACTTTCAAGGATATATTTTTTCTAGTGTGAGAAGGTGGCAAGCGAGCTGGTGGTTCGCCCACCTAACACCCGTCGCTAGATACGTCGCCAACTTTTAATAAAGTGGGCCCCGGCTACCTCAGTCACGAGACGAAACGCAAAAGTTAAACATTAACACTTCACGCCAGTCATTTTTGAGGTCGTGTTACCTCTGATCTGCCCATAACTGCAACAGCGAAGGCTGATTGTCGTGGTCCAATCACAGTTAAGATATACATGCCTCCATATAATGTTTTTGGCACTGTCTAGCACGCCGTGAACTGGCACTTGCAACTTGTTATATGACTCAATATATATTTTTTATATAAACATGTTTTTTATACGTCGGTATAGTAACACCAATGACATCTAAGTTACTCGTACCGATGTTCGCTACCTTTATGATGGTAAGCAAGACACAAGCTGTTTAGTCTTAGTTCCCGTGGCTTCTGTTTATAGTATTCTCAATTTGACTTTGCTTGAGCTTTTAATTACACCACATTTTTTTAAATGTGTGCGTGTAACATGTGTTGGTGTGTGATCCGATATATTCTAATAAAAGGTTTTAAGTAGGAGTCTAGCGTCTACTCAAGAGTATTTCTTGATTGTTCGTGCTGGGTACTCATCCCATACTTATGATTGTAACAGCTGTAATTCGATAGAAACTAACGAAGGGAGCGGTTGTTTTAAATGGTTTATGGTCAAAGCACTCACCCTTTACGCCTGGTGGCGCGGCAGTTCCTCTCATCCTCTCCGCCAGGGCACTGGGGTGTACCGTCACATCGAGCAGCGCGCGAGACGCACATAGACCCTGGCCCTCCGCAGCGGAACGCGTGCATTGGGCACCGCTCTCCGGTTCCGTCTGAACGGTCGTTTTTCGTTATCTCGTGCGAAATATTGCATTATTTTGTTTACAGTACAACTGTATGGAGAGGAATCGATTCATGACACCTCGATTGACGATTTAATCGATGTGGTCGGTTCGCTTATAATGCCGCACAGTATGTCTTATTTCAAATTATTTAATGTTTAAGCTATGTACTAATTATTATCCAATAATAATTCAAAACTCTTTCCTTTTAAGATTATCTTTAAAAATTTCTTATGATTTAACATTTATCTTAAGAATTAAAAAAAAATTAAGATATGTGTCGTCTATCAATTTTTTTTTATTTTAACGCCATCTTCTTTTTTTAGGATATATTTATTTAAGTAAAAGCATTGCCCTTACTTTAGGATAGCATTATCCTGTGTTGTAAGGACGTTTTACAAACATAAATTTCACGCGGACAAATACCCAGATGCGAAACAACTATCTGTGGGTCACGCAAAAAGTTGTCCCGTGAGGGAATCGAACCCACGACCCCCGACGCCGAAGCCAATACCTTAGCAACTGCGCCACGGAATCATCGTACCTAGTATTTTAGGAAGAAAAATAAAAGTTTTTTAATGGGCAATAGTTGTAAAGCAAGCAGGCGGCTCGCCTGATTTTATATGAATACAGCCGCCCATGAACATCTATAATACCCGATGGCTTGCAGATGCGTTGACAACTTTTAAAAAGTTGACCCCAGTTACCTCACTGGCGAAACGCGAAAGTTTAATACTTGCACTTACCGCCGTTTTCTGTTTGTGAATGTTGTCTATCCTGCTTTGGACAAACAAAGAACTTATACACTGCGAATTACCAGATCTCAAAATTTAAATAAGAAACATTTAAAGAAATGATTTTACTGTCCATAAATTTTCACAAATAACAGTTTTTTCCAAATTCCAATAGAGAAAATGCTTTGATGCCATATTGTGGTCCATTAATGAAGTAAATTAACTCCAAACCCAGCGTGTTACCTGTCTGTCTACAATATTTTCATACACAACAGGTACAGATCCACAAAGTAAAAATTAAATCTTAACATCTTTAAGCCGAAATGTATAACTTTATAAGATGGGGTTATTTAACAGTGGCATCAAGACGTCAAACAACTTTGCGCCTCCTAGTGCAATGAATGCTACAAAACGTTAGAAGCGGCGGGTGTTCTGATTCAAAAAACAATAAAGAAAATTAAGGAAAATAAACTGGAAACGGGGAAAAGTGAAAAGGTCGAACAAACCATCGCGGTCACACTCTGTGGGAAATCAATAGGCGTTTGCGTTGAAAGCGGTGAGAGTTTGCCGATGCGATGGAATGAATCAGTGCGTGGACAGTTACCTTTGCCAGTACCTTGGCACTTCTCGTCGGAGCCGTCGGGACAGTCTTTTCTACCGTCGCACACGAAGTACCAGCTTATGCACGCGCCGGTGGAACGGCACTGGAATGGGAGATGACGCGTGTGACAGATCGAGGTGTCCGTAATAAAGATGTGTCGCTAGGTAGCTGCTTCTATTTAGATCTGCTCAACAAATATGTCTTTGGATGATAAATTACAAATTACTACTATGTACAGATAAATAAATATTCAGTAGCAGCTACATACATTATTTATTTATTTATTTATTTATACTTTATGCACAAGCTGTACAGGGGCGGACTTAATGCCACAAGCATTATCTCCCAGTCAACCTTGGGGTGGTACAGAGAAGATTCGGTAGGTGCACAGAAAGATGTCAAAAGAAATAAATAAAAAGAAAACACTGTTAAAATATAAACTGTTATAAATGAAAGTATATACACATGTTAATTATAGTACATATATAATAAATACTACCAGGTGTATGTACATACATACTAATACATAAATATCTTACTAAATATATGCATAAAATCATATATACATACATAAATAAATGTACGTTAATTATACGTTAAACACTAAAATGTATGTTAATAAATTGTTATTTTATTTTTTGTTATTTATTAATTATAAAAAGTTGATACAAAGATACTTATTAGATTAAGATCAAAACAGGTTTTTAGTATCAATTCCAGCAAACTATCATCATCATTCTCCTACCCTTATCCCACCTAGATGGGATCGGCACAGCATGTGAATCATGTTGTAATAGGTTTTCACTATTGTTTTAAGTAATTGTGTGACCCACATGTGATTGTTTCAGCCGGATCTGGGTGTTTTGTTTCCCAGGAGAGTTGACGTCAGGCAGGCGACCGGTCGAAAAAAAACGTAGCCAAAATCATTAACATGATATACATTTTGTGCCGACCCTACCTAGGTGGTATAGAGGGCAGGAGGAGGTTGATGAACATTATTAATAAGTTATAAAAAAGTAAAGTAACAGCCTATAAATGTCCCACTGCTTGGCAAAGGCCCCCTCTATACAGAGGGTATCAGGGCAGAGACCACCACACGGCCCCACTGCGGATTGGCGGACTTTACATATCTTCGAAATATTTTTTTTGTTATTATTTCGAAAATATGCAGGTTTCCTCGTGAGGAACGTGATGTTTTCCTTCACCGCGGAGCACGTGATAAGTCAGCACTTAAAGTTAAAAACTTCATTGGTGCCGGCAATGGGGATCGAACTCAGATTGCTCGAGTATATTGAATTAAAAGCGAGCGCCCGGACATTAAGCTATCTAATGAGTAATAAGTATTGTACATTATTAGTATCATTAATGAAACTCAGGTTCCTCGAGTGACTTTAAAATGACCATGAGTTAGAATGGTTCGCACATATTATGGAAATAATCTAACCTGAAAAGTTCCCGGCAAGCATCCTCTGTTCCTCGCTGAGCAGGCTGAAGTAGAGTTGTTGCGAAAAGCGCAGTCGCATCTTTTATTAAGGCAGCGCGAGTTAGGATCGACTTGATGGCATTGCGAGTCCTTTAGGCAAGGCATTCCGAGGGACGCTGGTCCAAGATCGAAAACCGGAGACACTTCAGCACGGACACGATGCTTATCTGAATAACCGTTCATTTTTAAAGAATCAACAAAGATTTAATGAGATGAAACTAACAGCATGGGTAATTATAATATCCAAGGGTACTGCAAAAAACTGCATAATTATACAGTATTCGAATTCACATAAAACTACACTGTAAATCATTAACATAAGTTATTAGACGTGACTTCGCGTCTTATTTATTTTTAACTTATTTATACACACCCTTTAAAGATGACTTTTTCTGGTGTCCGCCTTTGTATGGTTTATTCCCGGTACTTTGATGCTCCTTCCCTCCTCCGCTCTTTTTGTTTGATTTCTTTTCCGTGGACGGCTGAGTTACCACCCTGTATACCGGTTGGTCGGCATGCAAATGTGCCGTCATTTCTTCGGCACGAATCAATTCATTCTGCTCAGCGTCTTCCCTTACGGTGGGTGGGAGCGTCTTCTCTGGTGCAAGCGTGGGCACTTTCATGACGGCCTGCATCAATGGACTGTCCTCTTGCGTGCTAAGAACGTCGTTCTTGCTGGTAAACATCGGCAGTTTACTTGGCCGCACGTCTTCTGTGTCAACTAATAAGCTTGGAGGGCCGAAAGGATCCTCAGAGCCTGGGTTAAGATGGGTGGGAAGGGTAATTTTCTTGTGAGGTATTTGGGTGTTCGGGATCGTTCCGTTAGCTTCTACGATAACAGCCTCTTGCTCGGTGATCACCGTTTCAGTAGACAGCCCTGGAAGTCTCTGCGGAATGCATCTATCGCCGCTTTGTCTGAAGAGACTGTTACAGGCACACCTCCCGAAAAGGTTAGGGATGACGAATTCACAATGACTCTCCTTATCCCATAAGCGACAATGTTCGTTACTATAACACACGTGAGTTGGAGGCGCCGCTGAAATGGAAAAAACAATTTAAATATACTCCTTTATTATTTACTTTAAGTTTCTTATTAGATATGTGTTCTCTTATTTAGAAACAAGAATAAAAATGAGTAAATGTTTTTCTGACATCACCACGGCTAACTATATTTTTTTGATATTTGATAATCTCGTAAACCTCGAATTGTTTATCTATTTCAAAACGACGATTAATAATTAAAAAAATTAAAAAAAAAGACTAGTTATCGAAAATTTCGCGCTTTGAAGTCATCGGCCAATCAGCTGGCTCGAGCCCCATGGCGCAGATTCGAATCCCGCAGCGCCGAAGAATTTTCGGAAGATTATCTATTAAAGTCACAATTGAATTTCATCAAGTATGTTTTAAGAATTAGGTATCACAAAAAATTTAAAAGTAATCCTAAACGTTTAATAAAGCAATACGATATACTAGTCTGCTAGGTAACTGTACATTGGTAAAGTGAAATGGTATTATGATTGGTTAATATGTGATAATACAGCACAGTAACTCACAACACGCACGGTTTACTCGTAAGTGTTACGTGACTCAACACTTTGGGTATACAGATTTTCCATTTGTAAAAATTAGATAGTGTTTGTGATATTTAAATATAGCTTTGTAGTCTATTGAGAAATACTCAATGATAACCGTATATTGTAGTAAAACTTACTCAAGTAAAGGGAGACTGCCATTATACCCATAACAAAATATTCAACCTTAAAATTAACGTTAATTTATGTTCAAGTTCCATAGTCATCAAAATAAATATATCAAGTAAATTGTATAGCTTTATTAATTAGTTTGCCAACATGCAAAATGCGAGTACGCTTATATCTGCTTTAAAGAAATTTGCATTAATTAAGGTCGAAGTATTTTATAACCTCGGAAACTCGACTCGCAAAGAAACCAGAACGCCAAACACTGTGGAGATTCTTAAAGTAATTGACACGACAGTGAGCGCTATTTACTACTGATCCAGATTCCCAAACGTCGTTACACTGCAGCGTGTAATTCTTGCGTTTTCCCCGTCGAATTGAAACAGTTAAGCGAGGTCTGCCACCTACAATTCTCACAGTAATATCATAATAAAGGCGTTATGCCTGATAATAAGACCGGTTCACACGAAATGGCGCCGTCACAGATTTAACGCAATCCACAATCGCATTTTTTTCACTAACACGCAACAGTTCTAACTGGAATTGGTCATCATTAGTCAGAGTTTATGTTATTGGAGAATTTCAATGTGCCTTTAAACTAAGGAGAGAAATTAATAATGCTGTCAAAAGAAGCGATGAATAGAATAATGAAATGAAGCTATATGTATAATCAAAAAGAAAATAAACAAGATCACGACAATATAGCTATTGTTTCAAAGGGTGACGTGGTTTAAATTATTTTACTATAATAACTTTTACGTTATCATTGTAATTTGCCAAATAAAGTAAGTATATATTTTTGTAAATGACAAATGACATGACATATACATATTTATTTTACGTGTGAGTTAAGCAATAAATTCATTCAAGTCCATGGAGAGATTATTGCTTGAATAGGAATGTACCTAACTCACAACTCAATTTGACGTTTGTAATATTGTTTAAGAAATCACACAAAAACTATAATTTTTTTTATAAAACTATAATTTTATAAAAAAATTATACCACGGTCAGTTTGGGACGTGACCAATTCGAAGAAGTAGCGAGATTAGCCCATACAGAGGAAATTGAAAGTTTTCAAATGATTTTATAATTTTATACTGTGACTACTCTTTATTTAATGTGAATGATTGGAACAAAAACAATTCTATATCAATCATGTCAACGAAAATAATTGCATGTATCGGAAACGAGCGTAGTTATGGCAATTTTTATAATGTAAGGAGGTGGCAAGCGAGCTATCGGTTTACTTGATGTTAAGCGATAACACCGCCCATTGACATTTGCAACAGCCATAGGGTTGCATATGCGTTGGCACCTTTTGATAAAGTGGGCCCCGGCTATCTCACACACCAGACGAAACGCAGAAGTATAACACTTCCACTTCACGCCGGTCTTCTGTGAGGTCGTGGTACTTACCCGGACGGACCTGTCCATTCGTGCAACAAAAAAATTAAATTACTTAAACAAAGAAACGAATTCCGACAAGCTGCAATATTTAAGTAATAGATAAATACTAAAATCCCACAAAACCCTATAATTTGAAGCTTTTGCTATAATCAACACAGATTTCGTAAATTCTATTAAATTAACTAAAATCCGGTCAAATCACCGAGCTGGCTTGACAAATTTTAACGGGTTATCTATTTTAATATGATGAGCCTAACTTTATTAAAACGAACAAAAATAAGGTTCCGTGAAAGTTAAAAGTCATGAAAAACTGAACGAAATTAGATTCTACGGTCCTTTCCTGGCAAATATTTGCATTTGATAAAATTGATAGGTGTAGAGCCAATTTTTATATTAAATAAAATTATCTGTAATTTAATAAACCCAGCTGATTTGGACTAAACCGCTTATTGCGGGTTACGGTTCCGAAATTTAAATCACATATTCATGAATAAACTTATTGTGAATCCCTTAGAAGTAAATAAACATTTTCATTTAATTTCTCTCGGACGAAGTCGCGGGTAGCAGCTAGTTTAAAATGTTCCCGCAAACTCGATGGAGATTTATTAATAAGGTGTAAGAGCGCCACATGAATAAAAATACAATGCAACAAGCCCTATTGTTGTCATACAAATTGTTACATATTACCATAATAAAGAGATAATTGGTATGTATGCTTGTAATCTTATATATTTACACTTACGAGAAAGACAGGTATGCTTTCTGAATTGTAAATGGCCATCGGTGCATCGACAAACACCTTCCAAGCACGCACTAAATGCCACCTTCAGAGTACACTGTTCCGACACCACGCATTCGGATCCCAATAGTGTTGCTGAAACAAAAAAGAAAGTGACATTAAATTAAATCAAAAGGTAAAAACCAAGAGACGAGTAAAAAATTAAAGCAATCAGCATGTGAAATTAAGGATTTATTTCATATTTGGAGTATATAGTAATGTATCTGAATATTAAAAGGTAGGTCGTAACTCGAAAATACAACAACAGTTAACCTTAAGCCATCTTCATTGTAGTCGAACGGGATTTCTAAAGATGGGCGTAAGCAGTCAATTATCATCCTTGTCAAAGCAAAACGGAGGAAGGTGCACGGCCGCTAGATTGAAGAGTTCACGACCTTAGGCGGACTTGACCTAATTCGTTTTCAAGTTCACCGTTGGCTCCCTTGGCCGGGCGTGTCGATTAATTTGCATCCAATGAAGTTTATATTTCCGGCATTATTTCACGCAAGCCACTCGCAATTGAGGTTAGCGTTTGCCCACATTGTGATGGCGAAAACGTTTACTTTGACTTGGCGCTGCCTTAAAAACTTAGTGTGGTTACGTTCCCTTGATAATGTTATCTTATTTTTAAGTGAAAGCGATATTATTCATTTTTGCAGGTTAAGTACACACTTCGTTTTATCGTTCTCCATAAAAAGAAAACGATATAATGTAACAAACAAAACAGGTCGGTTAAAGTATTTCAAAATCATTCAAGGAGGAATTGTTTATCGCACTTAGCGATTTGACGTTAATTAAGGTTATTTAGTATTTTTTTATTTTGCACGACGGCATTTCCTATTTCAATGTATCGTTTATAAAATGATTTTAACGCTCCATCAATTCAAGTCGGATTCCTTTCCGTCATAACGCATAGCTTCCAAGTGTTATTAATGTTTGCTACTGTCACATTATAATGTAACGGAATGTAAGCGGATGCGTTTAGTAGTTTTGTCAGTTGTCTAACATCAAATATTCATATAAATTTACAAGCGATTAAACATGAGCTATTAATCAGTATTTGTTGCAGTGTGAAAGTTCCGTATGTTTTAATTTTTTTATTAACGTTTAAATATTGATAAACAACGACACCGCTCACAGCTGATGACGTAAACCATTTTTATGCATTCTTAACTAGCTTTATATTACATTTTTTTTTACTATATATACACAAATACGGCAAAATTAAAATTCATTTATGACTAATATTGCATCAACTAACGTTCTGAGAGTTTTCGATCAGCACATAATTATCTATAAAGATAAATAAAATTGGAGTGTTTATTTGTAATATTAAAACAACTACATTTTACTAAATGCATATGGATGTATACACGGTACTTATTCCGGAAGAACATTTTGTATAATTTTTGTCTGTCTGTCTGGCTGTTTTTTCCGGCTGAATCGGCTGAACTGATTTTGACCTGCCTTTCACTGGCAGATAGATGAAATGTAATAAGGAGTAACTAAGGCTACTATTATTTTTCGAAATTTATTTTATTTAAATTCAACGCGGAAGAAGTCGCGGGCATAGTTAGTGTTAAATAAAAATAACCGATTTGCACATCGGCCCCTCTTTTTTGACAATCAAACTACGAGGGTCTTGAAAGATAGAAAATATACCACAATTATAATTAAAAATTTAAATGTTTTTTTTACTTTTTTGTTCTATCACTGATTCTCTATTGAATTCTCTATCCATTTACCTACAATCGTTTTTGTGGTTTCTGTTGCAAGAATTTGTGTAAAGTGCACACAAGTATTATATATACGTTCGCCAATTATGAACACATTCTTGCTATTGTTCATTTCTCACTTAGAATGTTTATGGAATTGCAATGTAAAACATCAAAACTAATTACTTTCTATTCACCACTTTTCATTTATAAATTTTACCCAAAAAAATGTTTTCGCAATAGAAAGTTATAGGGTCTCTATTACCAATATACAAATTGCACTAATTGCGGTATGAATATACGTGTCTCTCAATATCAGGCTCAGAACGCCAAATGTTTTTGTCAAAGTAACACATAAATAAATTAATGATTACTTATACTATCATTATGACGAAAATGGTGATGAAACAATTGTTATAAGCGTGGCATTAATAAAACGGCTCACTGTAAGTTTCCAAATCGATATCATGACACATAAATCTCGAAACACAGATCACAAAGGTGAACACTTGCGTTTATTAGATTGGGCACGCCATGTCAGGCGTGAAAAAAAATTATTCGCGTGACTTTTCGGTTTCCAATCACAGAACATAAATCTGCGGCCTAATTTTGTACGTAGATGATCGATAAATTTAATCGTCTCCCGACGGAGACATTTATATCAATTTATTTGATCCTAAAAAAATAGTGAGGAACAATTATATCGATTCAAAAAGTATGTCGTGAGGAGTCACGATGAGGCTTAAATAAATTGCAGCGGTTGCCAGCAGAGGAATGAATGTTGGACCAATTTTCAAAAATTGGGTGACCACTTGCTATATTCAGATCATGGAGTCTTTCAATTTATTCGCACGGCACGCAAAAGCCGTAAACGTCCACGATTGTGCGTCTCGGGCATTCCTGGTACGCGCATTAGCAGACCTTACTGTAAAACTACGTACATAACTAAGGTCGCAGGTGCTTGGATAGCCTTTTACAGCCGATGGGCCCTCCATCATCATAACGGTTGCAGTCTCGCGAGCCTTAAATCACCTATGAGAATATTAGCTGTATACGGACAAGACCCGCCTGTGCATTACGAATGTTACACAGTCGAACACGTCGCGTGCTATGTCAACTTCGAAATTCGACTGATTTATTTATGACTTTAAAAATGTTCCGATTGAGTAACAGTATGATTGAAATATGAAATTGATGAAAATATGATGTATTTTAATATAAATGTAAGTAGGTTTTAATTTAAATAAATGAAACAAACGTCGCTGCTTTACTTTTGAAAAAATGAAGAAACCTGTTTAAGATACTGATAATAGTTGTCCGATCGAGTCCAGGCAATTAAAAAAATTGTTAACGCATGGTTAAGTCAAAAACCGAATAGTATTGATAAATACGGTTATTTTTTAAAATTAACCAATTGCCGCGGGAAAACGAGTGAATTATAATCAATTAAACACAATCAACTGTATTTTTTTATATTATCAGGATACTTGTTTATTATTTCAAAGAATATTCTTACACATGTAGACGGAGTCAAAACAAAACAATCAAAAGAAATTAAACAATGTAACCCTTTTTCTACATGTTTTAATGTAACCCTGCTAGTATTTTTAAATAAAAAATAAACGTACATACGATACATGGAGTGCAAAATGTTCTTATTTTAACAATTTATTAATCTAAGCCAAAGAAGAAATGAAAACGAACGTACATTTTATTATGTAACGTATATTTTCAGTAAAATGATTGGGACCATATACGAATATATATGCGTATTATGAGCCATGAATTTCGTAAAGCTACAAAATCTTTGGTAGCACTGCTCTAGGGCATCGTAAACAAATCAGGGTTAGGTTAGTTTTAAATCAGGGTTTCTACCTTCCCATCAATTGTTAAACTTAAATTTATCGAATGATATGCTCTCTCTCAGTCCGTAGACTATTAAAGCTCAATCGAATACAGAGACATGAAACAGTCAGAAACCACGAGCTTTATATCGTATACGACCTTCCATGTTGGGTAGGACCAAGCATGTGCTCACGCGGGCATCATCTACTTCTGTTGGTAAACAGTAAGTGGTCTGAGGTTAGTAAAACTGTAGGTTTGAAGCACACACATCACCGATTCGCATATCTGGGTTTATTGACGACTTGTCCCGTTTGGGCTGAAGCTGCTATGTCACGCATAGTCACCGTGTTATCATCTTAGAAGATCACGCACACTATTCTTTGACTCGTCTTTAATTTGTAGAAAAATCGATGAAAAGTTTTTCGCTGCTGCGAGGATTGAACCTCCGAATACGCGTCCGACGATCTAGGCATTAAGCTAAACGGCTTATCTTCACATCGACTAAAATCTTAACGTAGTTTATCAACTTTGTCTTTTATTATATTTTTAAGCAATGTTTGGCGTCATCTAGAGTGTTTCCTTAACAGTATACGACCACGTTTTCTTATAACATTTCACAACGAAGTAATTGAAAACTAGATATGACGCCTTTGCTATTAAATTATTAAAGGATATAAATTTTTATAGTGTGTGTATCATTACTGTTATGTGAATGGGAATAACGTTGAAACTCTAATGTACGTTTCCAATTAAGAACGAAGCTTCCTACAGGTATTATTATAGGTACTTCGAAATAACAGGCAAGTGATGAACTTCAGAACTGTTTAAAAATTCACCCCACGATGTTTATATATTTAGTTAGTCTTAAGAGTTTCTTTTTTTTCATATAAATTGGCGAAAGCAATAAAAGGTTACAAAAATTTCGCACTAGGTCATTGAGAATGGAATGAACAGAAGACGGAAATATTACAAGTTCCCATTTATTTCGTAGGCACTAAATAAAGCTTTCTCCTCATTATCTGTGTTAACTTTACGTTACTTTGTAACTTTATACGATGTTGAGTTGGAAGAACATCGTATTTTATTGATTGTATCTTCTTATGTCTTAAGAGGTAAATCGAAAAGTTTGTATTCCTTTATGAAATTATTGCGGAGAGTTGTGACACTAGGTATAATCAACTTTGGATGCGCGCGAGTGGGATTCAGGGACAGGTCCAGGGTAGTAAATGTGTCTCCCTGTCCTCTACGATCAAGGTAGAGACACCGAAGAAGAGGAGTGCTGGTATTGCGTTCTTCCGCTCTCCCTATCCTCTGCAACTCGGCGTAGCTGCACCGCTGACGCAGTGGTGGTGCGGCTGCAGAGGGAGAAGAGTGTCGGTATTGCGATACGCCGTTCTTCCTACCGTCCGGGGCCGAAACGCGGCTGATACGTGGCGGAGCGGCGGAGCTATAAGAGTCTACCGTTGGGGGCTTGAAGGCTTGCAGCTTACTAGCGCTAGCTCTCCTGGCTCCCATGACCTCTGGTCAGCGAACTTA